AAAAAAAAAAAAAAAAAAAAGCAGAATGAATCTTCTGCTGAAACATGAAACCATACACCGCCATATGCTATGTCTTTTGGGGCTCGTTCCACACTCCTCGGGGCATCCTCGAAGCCCGAGGACGATTCCTTGGAGTCGCCCGAGGAAATTCCCGCCTTCGTTCCACTCATCCTCGGAAATGTTCCCCGAGGACGATTCCTCGGGTGCTCCCGCGGCCAGTTGCATATTTCGACACGCGGACGCGGGGGGGTTGGCGAACTTGGTCCTGCGGGTTGTGTCCGTGGCGTCGCCCTTGGTCCAGGAGTTGTGGGCGGCGTGATTCGAATTTACGCAGCGAAAAAAAAAAGGCTACGAAAACGGCACGCAGTCCCGGATTCGAATTTCGAAATTCGAATCCCAGTAAGCGAATGACGGCGGCGTGTGTGTCCCTTACGGCTAACGGCAACAACGTTCGTCGGCGAGACTGTTTCGGTACGGGGTGGCGGCTTCGTGGCGTCTGCTGGCACGCCAAACGTCCATGAATACGTCCGAAGCAGCACGACCGCCGTCACACGATCGCCAACGTTGTGTGCTTCGCTACGCGCACCTTCGCCGTCGACGTGCACGCCGTACAGTCGCATTTTCACGACGTGCCATCGCTGTTGTTCCCACCGAAGTCGAGCCTTCTTCACTTGGCGAGGACGAGCGATGGACGTGGACGGGGACGCGGTTCATGACACACTCAGCAAGGCGGAGAGGGCGGCTGTGGCAGCGGCCGTGAACATGATACTCATCAGGTGTCAATTGCAGAGGACGGAGGGGAGGATGAGAACAGCCATTCGCGCACGCTGGAAGAAGACGCTGCAGTCCATTTATGTGGACGAAGAGGGCAGTGGTGCAATTTGCAACGCTGTCCTTCAGGTGTGCTATGCCATGGGGTGTGGAGCGTTTCCCAGAGCGACGCCGAGGTGGTGGATGAAGCGTCGAACAGGGGGGGTGTGGGAGGATCTGCGGCAATGCGACGACGCGACGGAAGACTACTTCAAGGACAAGTTGCGCATGTCGCCCCGAGTGTTCCGGGAGATAGCGGAAACTCTGTCTCCCTTCCTTCAACGGCGTGTCACGTTTTATAGGGAGCCCCTCCAGCCTGACCTCATCGTAGCGTTCGCTTTGTACAGATGAGCGTCGGGGGAGACGTACAAGAGCGGGACGTGCAGCTTCGGCATTGGCAGAAAGTCTAGGTTGGTGGCTGTGCGGGATGTTACTTCGGCGTTGCTGAGTGCGTACCGCGACAAGATATCGTGGCCAACGGGGCTGCAAAAGGCGGTTGTCTTGCGCGCTTTCGCTGACAAGGGTTTCCCCAACTGCCATGGCTGCATCGATTGTACCCACATCTTCATCGACAAGCCAACCAATTGCCCCGGAGAGGACTACTACGACAGAAAACGTCATTTCTCCGTCCAGGCTCAGGTGGTCGTCGATCTGAACTTGTGCGTGCTGGATGTGTTCGTCGGATACCCGGGGAGCTGCCACGACGTGAGGATCGTCCACCTGTCCAGTTTGTGGGCGCGTGCGGAGGCAGGGGAACTTTTCACTGGTCCACCTGTCATGCTGCCTTTCGGTGTGCGAACGAACGACTATCTACTGGGCGACAACGGTTACCCCCCCTCGGAATGGGTAGTCGTCCCCTACGGTGGTGTATCACAGCACCCGTCGGAGATTCGGTTTGACAACAAGCAGAAGACGGCGAGGGGAGCAGTCGAGAGGGCTTTCGGCAGATTGAAGGGGATGTGGAGGTTGTTCCTTCGCTCCCACAAGACGAACATGGAGACGTTGCCGCAGCAATTCGTCGCCGTCTGCATTCTGCACAACATACTCATCGACGCGGGCATCCCGTTCGACGACAATCTGTTGTGGGAGGTCGGGCCTGACGGTGTTCGTCGCAGGGTGGACCTTGGGATGCACCGCCCGTTGAGGCAGATGTGTATGGAGTCGTCGACGGGGGATGCGCTGATCCTGCGGGATGCACTGGCGGAGCGAATGGGTACGCAGTGAAGACGAGCA